CCCCCTTGAACCTAGACCCAGGCTGGGCCCTATTTATGAGCTAGCTCCCCTTGCCTTGCCCCCATGCCCCTCTGCCACATCCAGCCTCCTTGCCTGTGTAACCTCATTGGTGGGAGCCCAGCCAAGCCCTAATTGTGCCTGAGCTTGACTTTCAGTCAGGGCCACAGTGAGCATTAAATTATTATTCCATACAGCCCTGGCCTGGCCCTTCTTCAGGGAGTAGGCTGTGTGGGGTATGCCTGGCAAGGGTCCTGCCAGATTATGTCCACAGGAGAAGGCAAGTGTCCAACAGCTTCATCCTCATCCAAGCCTCCCCAGACAAATGGCAGTGAATCCAGGGCCTCCTGACGTGTCAAGCAGGTATTCCCCTTGCCAGTGGGAAAAATGGAGGCTCAGCCAGCCCCACAGCAGCCCCTCACATGATGATGCGAGGCTCTGGCACAGACTCGCCAATGGACTTGTGGGGCAGCACGCTGGCCCCGTTGAGGTAGAGCTCGTCGTTAACTATGACGTCCTCCCCCAGCACTGTCACGTTCTCCATGCGCACCTCGAGGAGGGAGGGGCAGCCTTGTCAGTGAGGCAGGCACATTCCCTGCCCCTCTCCCCACCTGGCCCAGCCCAGAGGCTTACCCACTGGCCCACACGGCAGCGCCAGCCCACGATGCAGGACTCTAGCCAGGAATGGGAGCGGATGTGCGCGTCTCGCAGCACTGTGCACCGCCGGATACACACGCCATCCTCCACCACCACACCGGGACCCAGGCTTACGTTGGGGCCAATGCTGCAGTTCTGGCCAATGCGGGCGCTTGGGTCCTGAGGACAGTGGGAAAACAAAAGTGAGCCATTTGTCCCCCAAGACTGAGGGGATTAATGATGGGCTAGGCAAGAGCCTCACCACCAGCACGTTGCCCACAATGCCAGGGCCTGAGCACAGCTGCTCAGGCTTCTTCTGTCGCAGTGACTGTAGGAAGAGGCACATGCCGGTGAGAAAATCCTTGGGCTGCCCAATGTCCATCCAGAAGCCTGCAGGGAAGGAATGCATCAGGGGGCTCAGCCCGGCCACAGACCACCCCCACCCTGTGGCCTCCCTGCCTCACCCTGCAGCTCCATGGCATATAGCTGCCCCTCCTCAGCCATGACAGGGAAGACCTCCTTCTCAATGGACGTAGGCCGCAGCTGTGGGAGTGGGCAGCTCGTGAGCAGGGTCATGGTGGTGGTGGCCTGCCCTAGCCCAGCCCACCCCCAGTTTCTACACACCTGGATGCGCCGCAGCACGGCAGGGCTTAGGATGTACATGCCCGCGTTGATCTTGTTGGACACAAACACCTGTGGTTTCTCCACGAACCGGTGAATGCGGCCTGTGTCAGCCTCACACACCACCACACCGTACTTGGAGGGTTCTTCCACTTTGGTCACCTGAGTGCAGGGGGACCTCAGGCCTAGTCCAGTGTTCCTGAATCTTATATGCATGCTGTCCTAAATCTCGGGGGCTGTGTCTCAAATGCTTAACGACATACTGCAAAGATGTGCACCCACAGCATAAGGGGGCAGTTCAAGGTTGGCGGGGAGAAGCTGGCCATGGGGGACGGGAGTGCCAAAAAAAGACCTGGTGCTTACCAGAATGGAGCCCTCCTGGCCATGGTGCCGGTGGAACTGCACCATGGCTTGGAAAGGGAAATCGCAGATCACGTCGCTGTTGAGGACGAAGAATGGGTCTGTAGTCTCAGAGAGCAGATCGCGGGCCAGTGCCAGGGGTCCAGCTGGGGTAGGAGGACAGGTCGCCTTTTTCCTGGGGGCCTGAGCCCCTGGATCCAGGCTCAGAGGGCTCCACAGTCTGGGTCTTATCCCCCCTTCCCAGCCCTAAACCCTCCCCAAGAGACCTTCCTGTCTCTACTGACCTGTCCCGAGCGGTTCCTCTTCATGGGACATGGAGATTCGGATTCCTAGCTGGAAGGGAGAAGCCTCCGTCAGGTTCCTCCCACCACGGTGGGAGGCTGGGTGGGCACGGTGGGAAAGGGTCGAGTCGACTCACCCTCTGCTCCTGCGCCTTCATTTCCTTCTCCAGCACCTGAGACATGTAGCTCACAGCCAGAATCACGTGGTCCACTCCTGCCTGTAGGAAAGGACAGCGTCCGCCGACAGGCGGGCTTAGCCCGAAGCAAGGGCGTCCGCCACTCTACTTGCCGCCCCTCTTCTTGTCCTACCACGATCCCGGCCGCGGGCCTTACCGCAGCCAGCGCCTCCACTTGGTGCAGCAAGATGGGCTTATTGCAGAAGTCCACCAGTGGCTTTGGGATGCTGAGCGTCAGTGGCCGCAATCGCGTCCCATAGCCGCCTACCAAGATCAGTGCCTTCATCGCGCCTGCGGATGGGCGGCCGGAGAAACTGAGTTCTGGGCTCCGAGGTGTCCGCGGTCCGCCTGGCCGACCCCTGCCGCTCACTCCCGCCGCCGTGCCCGGGCTCGCACCCTTCACCTGCCAGACTGACCAACTCTGGATCTGTCTTGTCCCCCAGTCCGCCCTGACGCTGGATGCCGGCCACCACAAACCGGAACGCGACGCCGGATGGAGGACGGCTGGCTCCAAACTCAGGCCAACCCCGGGCAGGCGATGACGTAAGCCCGGGCGGGCCAATTGGCTGTCGTATACGTGGCACCGTCGCTGGCGTCAGAGCGCCGGGGCGCGGCTCCGGCGGACGTAGCCAATGAAAGGTCGAGCGCGCCCGGCTGCCATGGGGACCGCGACAGGACCCGCGGGTCAGCTGCCCATTGGCGGATCCAAAGGCGGAACTGGCGCCAAGGGCGAGGCTGCCTTCCTTCCCGGTGCCTGCAGGACCCGCGCCGCCCCGCCGCTTCCGGCCCGGGAGGAGCGAAGCGGGGCTGGGGCCGCGGGCCGGGGACGGCCTATCTCCCGGAAAACGTAGGTCTTCACGAAGACACGGACACGCCTGAGTTTCTAGCGGCTTTATTTTGACATACACGACCTTAGACACAAGCAGGGAGGGCAGCGCTAGGTGTACAAAAAGGGGCGGCTCGGCTCGGCCTAAGGCCGAGCACCCCCTACCCCCGCACGCAAGGTCCCGAGAACACGCAACTGCGCCCGGACTCGGTCGGAGCCACGTATCGTATCCCGGCGCAGGCCTCCGGCGGCGAGGACAGGAAAGTGGAGCAAGAAAGCGATTTCCAAAGGCGAGGGCTTACAGTTCCCGGAGAAGCAAAGGACCCAGGGCCTTCCCTGGGTTCTCCATCTTTTCTTCCTCATTAAAACATTTTTTAAATCGGCACAAACAAAACCAAATTGAACAGCTTTTAAGTTCAAAGATATCTGCATCTGGGGGCGTGCACGTGACCACGTGTGAGCGAGTGAACAGTGCTGAACTAGCCTAGGCCTTTGGCCCCTTAAAGGAGTCTCCACGCCACTGCACAGGCCCCGATGTGAGGGAGGGGTGGGGTCCCTGGCAAATTGCCACACTGGTCCCCTTCCTCTTTAAGCACCGCCCGATCCCACCCCCCAGGGGCTGGTGTCGACTTGGCACAGGGACGCATTATAGAAAAGGGGTCACTTGAGCGCCGCAGCTGTGACCCCACACTGCACTTTGGTCCCAAGTTGGGGCTGGGAAGGCAGGGCCTGGCTGGGACAGGGCTCCAGCAGAGAGCATGTGCACACACACGTGCCCACCACCTGCCAGATAAAAGGACTGGGTCTCCCAGTGTCCAAACAGCTCTGCCCTGGGAGGAAGCAGCAAATCCTAGGCCCACCGCTTAGTGCCAGGAAAACACTGAATTTAAGTGGGTACAACCTCTCTTGCTATGAGGTCGGGAGGGGGGAGGGGTGGACTGCTCCTAAAATAGAGGAACTCAGGAGGCACAGCACATCCCCAGGCTGGAGAGGGAATCCAAGTGGCCCCAGACCCTTTGTCTGAGCCTCTGCCCTGCCAGGAAATGACTGTCTACACTAATGGCTACTGCCTCTACAGCGGAAGCCACAGAATAGTAGAGGAGAGAAGGTGGTCACCTTTGACAATAGGCAAGCTGCCCCTCCCAGGAATGGGAACCTGCCCACCACTGGCACCAGGGTCAGAGGACTGAGAGACAAGGTCCATCAAGGTGCCCATTTAAGATGTGTGAGGCTGCATCTCTAAGGACCAGAAATTAGTCCATCAGTTACCAAGGCCTCTCACAGACACAGGCTGGCAAGCTTTCCTTCAATGCCCAAACAGGGACATGCCGAAAGTGACCATGACAGTGGCCCTAGGCTTGGAGGTGAGGGCACTAACTTTGGCAATGGTTAGATGAGTGCAGTGTCACCTCCTGGCCACATGTGTTAGAAGTGGCAGGTCTCTGTGCCATTAAGGGTTGGCAGTAAAAATAAAAACTGAGGAGGAAGGGGCCGCGCACTGGGCCTTCGCTGTGCCACTGTCAGTGCCAACACCACATTCCAGGCCCAGAGAGGGGCGCTGGGCCAGCAGGAAAACACCCCCTACAGTTCCTTTTGCTACCAGTTCTCTGTAAAAAGGTAGCACCTGCTAAGAAAGGGCACAGGGGCGAAAGCTCCCCTCAAATAGGAGAGAGAATATTTTGCTGAAGAAAGCATGAAGGAAATCAATATTTACCAACAAGGCTACACCCCAAGGGAAGGATCCCAAGAGACAGGGACTGGCAGATAGACAAATAGACAGGCTGAGGGGCCCCAGAACTGTTAAGACAAAACTCTCATTAGCAGTGTCTGGGCACCTGCTCCAGGGCACAATGTCCCTATGTGCAGATAGGCTTGACGTTCTCTCACACAAGCCTGGAGCTTCTCATAACGGGCTGTTGAGTTGAGCCGGGCCTGGGGAAAGGGGAGCCCCTGAGCCCTGGGAGGAGCAGCCCACCCAGAGGCAGCACAGCTCTCCAAGCTGGAGGATGGGGACTCTCACCCACAGTACAAGAACTGCAGATCCTGTTGGGCCAGAGCCACCAGAGGCCGAAGTCTGCTGGGACACAGATTTTCCGCAGCAAGCACAGCAAAAGCCCCTTCAGTGGGACAAGAGATGGTAAACTCCTTAGGCCAGGATCCTGGTGAGAAAGGCTGGCTGGGGTGTCCAGAAAGGGGAGGAGCAGGTTCAAGTGCCAGAGTCCCAGGGGATCCCAGGGCCCGCCCGCTGCCATAAGCTGACTTCAGCCCATGAATCTAGCCTCATGCTGAAGTCAGAACCAAGGATGGGTCCAGCCATGAGCAGCTGGCATTGTAGTGCTCTGGGGGCATCAAAGAGTGGCTGACACCCGTAACACTAAAACATCCCCAAGATGGGCACTCAACTTCTCTACTACTGAGGAACAAGGGATGAGTGGGCATGGAGGGGTCCTGCAGCCACAGACCCCAAAAACCTAGGCAAGAGAAACCAATGTCCAAGGGCTGTCCCCTGTCCCCGCTGCCAAGCCCACCAGGGGCACCTCTTCCTTCCTAAGACAGCCGGGACACGGCAGTCGGAGCTGTAGAGCTAAGGAGCCTGGCTGAGAGGATGTGTGTTCTGCCCTCCTTCACTTTATATATATATGGATTCCAGGCTACAGCTAAAAACATTTCTTTTAGTTTACACCAAAGAGAAATATAACCCTTTAAAAGCAAGTCTGTATCCTCACGGTGAGTTCGGATCAATGGTCCCTGCCTGCGGGTGGAGAAGGGGTTCTGGGGGCCCAGAGCTGGGCCTACTGGTTTTCGTCCCGCATCTGTTCTATGATGCTGATGAGGTTCTCCAGGCCAAACACATAGCCTCGGTCCGGCCCATCATGCACGGTGGGATCATCCCGGAAGCCCTTGAATGTGCTGTGTGCAAAGTCGATCATGCGGACATCCACCTTGGGTGGAGTGGAGGGGCCGGCCTCGGGGCTGGTGCTGCTGGGGCTGGTGCTAGGGCCACAGGGAGATGCCGCCTCAGGCACCCCTGTGTCCAGGTGCTTGAGACGCATCTCAGACCGGCGTTCCAGGTAGGACTCGGCCCGGCACTCCTTGCCATCATAGATGACAAGCAGGGAACTGGAGTAGAAGCGGTAGGAGGCCTGCCGTTCCAACACCGCTTTCAGGCCCCGCAGTTTGCTCAGGATGGGCTCAAAAAGGTCGCGACGCAGGTCCAGGCCGTTGTGCAGGTACTGATAGAGGGCATTGCAGAAGCCTTCAATGGAGAGCCCACGGCCGTAATACTTGTTCCTGCAGAGGTAATGCCCTGTGTCTAGCTGGTACACCTGAAACCCCAGGAGACAGACAAGGGTGAGTGCCAGAAGTCGGGCAAGAACTGTCTGGAAAGTACTTCTGACCAACCTGAGCTTTCCTGCTCGCCCCTCCACAACTGAGGTGCGCAGGCCAGGTTCACCTCAAGTGTTCCTACAGTTAATCCAGGAGGATGTGTGTACCAGGCCTGCAGGTTCTCCACCATCACCTTGGAAGCCCTTCTCCCAGCTGCCCTGGGGCCCGCTGGAATCAAACTAAGAACTTACTGACAAGAGTCTTATGCCAAAGTCAAGGCAATAGGCTCTCACAGCAGCTCTGTACCTGGAGCCCAGACCAAGGTCACCAGGTAAGGACAAGAAGGGTCAAGAAACATAATTCTAAGGATGTACTCAGTACCCCCCCACACCCCCGTGAGAGGAGATTCTGGACCAATGTGGGCAAAGGGGACACTCAGCAAGGGTAGTAGACAGGTACATAGGCAACTGAAAACATACTAGCAGCAGCACCTAGGCTCTCACCAGACAGGGGGCAACTCACCTGCATGCCACAGACCCTGACACCCAGCGTAGCTGACGTACTCTGCTCGCACTTCCTCATCTGCCGGGCTGCCTTCTCAGCCGAGGCATCATCGCCATGCTGCCGGGTGCCCATCTTCAGGTCCAGCACACAGGGGTACTTGAAGTGGTGCACCACGTTCTCAAGCAGGAGGAATTCTGGGCCACGGTCAAGGAGAATGACAACCACACTTACCACGAGCCACAGCCAGGAATGCACAAGCAAGTTTTTCTATAAAAGGAGGCAGTCTCATCTAATGCAATTCGTAGCACCTCACAAACTCGCAAATGTGAACTCACACCACCGGCTTAATAGTTCTTTAAAAAATTTTTTTACTGTGGTAAAATATACATAAAATTTGCCATTTTAAGCATACTTAAGTGTACAGTTCAGTGGTATTAAGCAGAATCACATTCTTGTGCAACTGTAACCACCATCCACCTCCAGAATTTTTTCATCTTCCCAGAAACTGTGCCATTAAACACTAACATGCATCTCTCTCCCGCCTCAGTCCCTGAGAATCACTATTCTACTTCCTGTTTCTATGAATCTGCCTATTTTAGGTACTTCATCTAAGTGGAGTCATAATATTTGTCTGTGTCTGGCTATATCACTTAGCAAAATGTTTTCAAAGTTCATCCATACTGCAGCATGTGACAAAATTTCATTTCTCTTCATGGCTGAATAATATTCCACTGTGTGTTTACACCACATCTGTTCATGTCATTTTAACTTTACTCTTTGGATGTGTCTTACAGACATACAGACTAAAAAAGGTTTGGCAGATTCACATCCATCCCTGGCACCATCAGTAAACCAAGTCCCCACTCAAGCCAGCGCCTCACCCAGGCCTAGGAAATAAGGAAGACACCTTTGTAGCACTACGAAAATGAGAAATTAGACTTAACATTCTCAAATGGGAATCTTTAGAAAAAGCTGGTTTAAATTCCTATGTTGCCATTTTCTGTCTTAACTTCAAACCAGTGGCCTGTATATTTAAAAATTTATCCCTTAGTACTTCTAGGATCATTTGCTCCAAACAGCTCTATGGCCCTGGCGCCTATCATTTATATATTCATGTCTCCATTTAATCTACTGTCTGCAACAATCCTAGATAAAGGTACAGGCTTGTCACATGTCTGCCAAAAGCCCTTGGGGCTCGCAACTGGACCTCAATTCCACATTTGGGAACTATTACATGATCAAATAATCTTAGAGGACAAGACACTCAGCATCACGCTGATGATGAACATTTTAACATCTAATTCTTTAAATAACTTATAGAAAACCATTCAATCTGGCCTTTAATTAATCTCATCACCTGCTGTAAGTGAAAATAAAACTTAAAGAAAGCTGCAGAAAACCTCACAGTACCCGCGAGCACGGGCTCTTGAATCCTGCTTTGGCCACTCATTGACTCTGGGCAAAACACTTATTCCCTGTGCTTCCCTTCATCGAAAGATGAAAATACTAATAGTTCTTCCCTCAAAAGACTGTCACGAAAACTGAATAAATACATATGAAGTGCTCAGCACACTCCCCTCCCAGTTTCTCAGTATTAGTTATTATCTATTACTGCAAAACACTGAATGATTATAAGGATTCACACTTCATAATACTTTTTTAACTTTAACATCTTAAAATTATTTAACACTGTACAGGTATGGTGTTTAGATTTTTTTAAAAAATCAAACATAGTACTTCTTAATTATTATCTTGGGAGGGGAGAAATACACGTGTGCATACACACACACACGCCTGATTCTAGACATGGACTGATAAATATGGTAGCCGCTAGCTACACCTGGTGATTTAAATTTAAAGTTTAATTGATTAAATTTATTTATTCAGTAACTCAAATCACAGCAGCCACACTGTACATACTCAATGTGCTAATGTCTACCACTAATAAAAAGCACAGATACAGAATACTTCCATTGTCCCAGAAAGTTCTATTGGACAGCACTCTTCTAGACTGCCAAGTTTAATATTCAGTCTTAACAGCTCCCGAAGGCAGAAAAACAACATGTTGATGAAATTAGAGGACGAGAAAGAAGAGCCTATGAAAAAGGGAGATGAGAACAAAAGAGAAGACTCAGAGCAGTGGGCCTCAGCCATGGTACTGGAAAGCAGCCTGTCATAGGCCCCGCGGCACACACCGCTGAAGGAGCAGTAACAAGGATACTGTAGAGCTTCCGGTCCTTGGACTCGGAGCGCATGCGGCTCAGCTGCTGCTTGTGACAGCGCAGGCTCCAGGGGTTGTGGCTGATCTTCTCAGAACTCAGACCGCTGTTGCCATCTAGCATCTGGAAAGGGACATCTGAGTGGCTGTGCAGATCCACCTTTGG